ATAACCAAGAATGGCTTTATTGGCTTATTAAGAGTTACCTCTTGTTTGCCTAAGTGGACTCCTACTAATTCTTCAGAAATTAGTCCCAAAACAAAAGAAAAGTTCACCAACATAAACTTATTTGTAATTCAACTAATTGGTAAGTTAACCCAAATTCATTTTTTATACTTTATGCATATGTTATTATTATTACACAAAAGAATGTTTAACATTAATTAATGGATTAAAAAAAATAAATTAGGTTACTCAAAATTGAACTTGTTTGATTTGATATGGTATAAAGACTAGTGCCATAATCCAAAGAAGGAAAAAGTATGGTTGCAAAAGTGGTCACAAAGGTAATTGCAACCACTTTTTATATGCCATAAATACAATTACTACCATAATCATAATTTACAGCACCAGTCTTTAATATGGTACAAGGGATATTTTATCGGCTATGTAAATTTGCTTGAGTGTTGATACCATATTCACCAAAAAATGATAAAAGTGTAGATGATTTTATTATAACCTTACTAATATTTAGGGTATGTATATATACATTGTTGTTTTTTTCTTACCTGCACATTAAATTTAATTACTAAGCTATTTAACATATAGAAAGCTGTTGATGATTCTGCTAGAGTAATTTCTGATATTGATAAAGAAATACATAAAAGACACTTTTACTCTATAATAAGTGATAAAAGTAAACATCATAAAATACTTCCATAATGGAGATTCAAATATTGGATCATAAGAACAAACCTTTCCTAACAATGAGAAACGTTTCAAAATTTGATATTCATTTGAGCGAATTAAGTGAATTAGCTAAATCAAAAGCTTCAACAAAAAATTTAATAAATTTGATAGAATTGCTATATTTTATAAAAAATATTATTAAAACAATAATATGTGATAAAATTAGACTGATAAATGAGTTTGTTGATCAAAATATACAGAGTATAGCATTCACCACAGATTTACCATCGCCACCATCAAATAATAGTGTATTCACTACACTTAACACTCCTACATTTTAAAATTAGCAATTAGAGTTTTTATATTTGTGTAGTATATAAAATTAAATGATATATATTGTTTTAATTTAATTAATGTAATTTTTTATTAATTGGTTAATTGAGTTCCATCTCAACATTTGCAATACAATACAAAGAAATATTTTAAATCAATTTTTTTATTTTAAAAATTAAAAAATAATTACCATTGAATCAAGATAAGTGATTCATGTATATATTAATTAATTAGAAAAATATATCTCTACTAATAAAATTACCAAGTCAAATTTTTTATATATTTATTAAATAATCAGGAACATCAAGCAAAGAATTAAACAAATTTTTGAGCTCCCATTTTGCCCTTGGATCCACTGCTGGATGTTTATAATCACTTAAAAGATCACTTTCCAAACTGCCTAGATTATCTCTTAATGCTTCTTCTTCAAGGTGTGATATCTCCTCCTCAATTAGCATTTGTTTCCATTCACAAAGTTCTCTCTCCCAATGTTCAGGAGTTAAAATATTATAATATTATTACTTTCTTCATCTATATCTGATGAAATTGCAGAATCCTGTACATTTAATTCCTCAATAATTGTAATATCATCAGACTCACAATCAACATTTTGAAATGCAGAAGACCTTGACTCAATTGGTTTACTTGAATTAATAAATTGATTCTCATATTGTAACAAATCCTTTTTCCTTGACAAAAAATTAATGGAAGCTTGTAATTGACTCCAGCCAAAATTTTGTCATTATAAAAAAAAAATTAGAATAATTATGAAATAAAAAATAAAATTTTATAAATATAAAGCTTAGAATATAAATTCCAAATTATACTTACAGTCAATTGATCTAGTCTTATTGTATACAGGAACCCATTGAAGACCACATTCTCTCAACTGAGGCTGCGTTAACACAAATGCTGAAAAGTTTTAAAGCTACACTAGCTAATTCTCTGTAATCTTCTTCAATGTATCTCCAAAATTTAAATACATCATTGTTAAATTGATTATAGGTTTCATCATCAAATGGTTCAACTTTTAATCTGAAATCTTCAAAATCTAAAAGGAGTCTTGGTTTTTTTTGGTAGGACAGACGTGAATTGATTTTTTTTTTTTTTTTTTTGGAAAAACAAAATACAATTTATTTTTTGACAGAGTCCAAGGTGACAAAACATGAGTGTTGTTGTAGGATCTCCTAAAGAATACGTGTTAATAACTAACCAGAGGTACTTAATTGGAATCAAAACACAGAGCAGATAATTGCTGGGTAATTATAAGATTTTCATTGATAATATTTTGCTTTGCATAATTGTAATAATAACGTTAATATTAAATATATAATTACAAGATGTCAAGGCAATACACCACCATTTAAAAAGAAACATTTTGAGTATGTGATGTTCAATTATCGGAAATTGGCAGGCATTGAAGCATGCATGCTACCTTGAACACTTACATTCATACACTCGTTCCTCGTGTACACAAGGCTAATCTGACTTGTGACCCCTTGATGATACAATGATGCAACTGAATTCCAGGGGAGGGACGCAAAGCTCTGGAGTTTAACCAAGACTGCACCAATTGTCAATGATGCTTTCACTAATCTTCCAAGACCAGAGAAGGCTGCCATGTTAGACAAAAAGTCACCTGCAATGATCCCACCTCTAGGGCAAGGGTGGCTCTGTGGCAAAGCTGTTGCAACTCTGCTGATGAATTGTAGTGCCATGTAAATATCCAGATCCATCAAAGCAAAGAGAATCTGCAACTTGTTTCAAGCACAGGAGATCACAATTCAGAGCAGGTTTGTGGCCCTGAAATTGCATTTGGGCTCTGATGTTATGAGGAAAGTTGTAAAATAGTGTTTGCTTTGTATAATCATTTTCATAAATGTTCTGTTTTTTTGATACTAACCAATTTAATAATTTTGGGTAGGGGATTGGATTGGGTTTTTGCCCAATCAGTTCTCTGTCCTGTAGGTTAAAATTAATATACATCTTAGTCAGCAATACGGCCAACAAAAAAAAAGTCATAAAATGGTTCAGATTTTGGTATGTTTTGTACAAGTTAATCATTTTCCCAAATCTCTGTTTCTCTTTAATTTTTATTTGATCAACTGAATTTGTTTTTCGAATGGGGGTAGGGCTGTTGGTGAGTAGGCATGCCACTGAAAAGACAGGAGATGCCTTTGAGATATATCAGCCAAACTCATAGAAAGAGATCTTTTGTCCAGACTAGGGTCACATGGATGTTAAGCACTGAAAATGTACACTATCAATGTATATTTTTTTCAACAACAAAATAAACATTTAAATAATTAATTGTTAAATATTAATACTTTTCTTTTCACAAAAATTACAGCAACCCAGGACTCAACTGAATTCAGGGAAAATCCAAAACAGCAATCCAAGGTTGCAACTCCTGAGCTGCTGAATTTTCAAGCCAGTCTTAACGCCAACTTTATTCTAGTGAGTGAGGGGTATAACACAAAGCAATCATCACATGAATGTCAACTCTCATCAGCAATCAATGCCCATATGGTAACAATGAAGCCTGGTTTGAGAGGAAGATAAGGAATGGTTTGACCAAAGCCTTCCAGCATGTTTAGGACTGTTTCACCTGTGGAAAAAAATATCCATGGTGCTGAATTGTGCTTAGTTGCACGGTCTTACATGTTTGTGACAGGAAGTTTTAATTAAATCTGACACATGCAATCAACATCAGATTTATTATTCATGAGCAACCATAATTGATAATCAGGAA